TCCCAAACAAAAGTTCAGGATCATGGAGCTTCACGGGTGAATTCTACCAAACATTTAGAGTTAACACCTATCCTTCTCAAATTATTCCAAAAAAAAGAAGAGGAAGAAATGCTTCCAAACTCATTCTTATGAGGCATCACCCTGTACCAAACCAGATAAAGACACCACAAAAAAGGAAAATTACAAGCCAATACCCCTGATGAACATAGATGCAAAACTCCTCAACAAAGTATAAGCACACCAAATTCAATAATACATTAAAAGAATTATACACCATGATCAAGTGGAATTTATCCCAGGGATGTAAGGATGGTTCAATATCTGCAAGTCAATCCATGTAATACACCACATGAACAAACTTAAGAATAAAAATATGATCATCTCAATAAATGCAGAAAAAGTTTTTGACAAAATTCAATATCCATTTATGATAATAACTCCAGAAAGTGGATATAGAGGAAACATACCTCTACATAATAAAGGCCACATATGACAAACTCACAGCTAACATCATACTAAATAGACACCATACTAAATAGTGAAAAGCTGAAAGAAAACATTTCCTCTAAGATTAGGAACAAGACAAGGATGCCCACTCTTGCCACTTTCATTCAACATAGTATTGCAAGTTCTAGCCATGGCAATCAGACAAGAAAAAGAAATAAATGGAATCCAAATTGGAAAGGAAGAAGTAAAGCTCTCACTGTTTGCAGATAACATAATACTATATATAGAATACCCTAAAGAAACTACCAAAAAAATATTAGAGCTATTAACTGAATTCAGTAAAGTTTCAGGATACAAAATTAATATACAGAAATCTGTTGTGTTTCTATACACTAACAAAGAACTATCAGAAAGAGAAATTAAGAAAACATCATTTACATCAAAAAGAACTGGGACTTCCCTGGTGGTCCAGTGGTTAAGACTCCATGCTCCCAATGCAGGGGGCCCGGGTTCAATCCCTGGTCAGGGAACTAGATCCCACATGCCCCAACTAAAAGAGCCAGCATGCTGCAACTAAAGATCCTGCATGCTGCAACTAAAGATCCCACATGCCACAATTAAAATGATCCCACACGCAGCAACAAAGATCCCACATGCCACAGCCTAAATAATAGATATTAAAAAAATAATAAAAGGGACTTCCCTGGTGGTCCAGTGGTAAAGAATCCGCCTTCCAACACAGGGAACGTGGGTTCGATCCCTGTTTGGGGAATTAAGATCCCACATGCCGCAGGGCAACTAAGCCCGCACACCACAACTATTGCGCTCACGCACCTCAATGAGTGAGCCCACATGCCGCAAACTACAGAGCCCACCCACCACAACTAGAGAGAAGCCCAAGCGCTGTAATGAAGAGACCGTGTGCCACAATGAAAGATCCTCCATGCCTCAACGAAGATCCCATGTGCCTCAACTAAGACCCAACGCAGCCAAAAAAATAAAGAAAATAATTAAAAAAAAAAACCCTAGGGATAAAATAACCAAGGAGGTAAAAGGTCTGTACTCAGGAAATCATAAGACACTGATGAAAGAAACGGAAGATGACACAAATGGAAAGATATGCTGTGGTCATCAACTGAAGAATTAATATTGTGAAAATGACCATATGCCCCAACATACTATAGGTTCAATGCAATCCCTATGAAAATACCAAAAGGCATTTTCATAAAACTACAACAAATAATTCTAAAATTTGTATGGAAACACAAAGGACCCGGAATAGCCAAAACAACCTTGAGAAAAAAGAACAAGGCTGGAGGTGTCACGTTCCATGATTTCAAACTATACTACAGTAATCAAAACACTGTGGTACTGGCACAAAAACAGACACATAGATCAATGTAACAGAATAGAGTCCAGAAATAAACCCACACTTACATAGTCAATTCACCTATGATGAAGGAGGCAAGAATATACAATGGGGAAAAGACAGCCTCTTCAATAAATGGTGTTGGGAAAACTGAAGAGCTACATGCAGAAGAATCAAACTAGACTACTTTCTCACACTGTACACAAAAATAAACTCAAAAGGCATTAAAGACTTAAATGTAAGACCTAAAACCATAAAATTACTAGAAGAAAACATAGGCAGTACACTCTTTGACATGAGTCTTCACAATATTTTTTGGATATGTGTTCTCAGGCAAGGGAAACAAAAGCAAAAATAAACAAATGGGACTATATCAAACTAAAAAGCTTTTGCACAGTGAAAGAAACTATCAACAAAATCAAAAGGCAGCCTACTGAATGGGAGAAGATATTTGCAAACAATATATATCTCTTATGGGGGTTAATATCCAAAATCTACAAAGAACTCATATAACTTATCCAAAAAAACAAACAACACAATTAATAAATAGGCAGAGTAAAGCAACCATACTCCAATAAAAATTATTTATATATAAAAAAAGGCAGAGAACCTGCACAGACTCCAAAGAAGACTTACAGACAAGCAACAGACACATGAAAAGATGTTCAACATCACTAATCATCAGAGAAGTGCAAATCAAAACCATAACAAGATACCACCTCATACTAGTCAGAATAGGTACTATCAAAGAGAAGAAACAATAAGTGTCGGCAAGGATGCAGAGAAAAGGTAACTTCATGCATCGTTGATGGGAATGTAAAATGATATAGCCAACTGTAGAAAACAGTATGAAAGTTCCTCAGAAAATTAAAAACAGAACTACCATATGACCAGCAATACCACCTCTGGGTATTTTTCTGGGAGGAAAAAGAAAACAAACAAAAACACTAATTTGAATAGATATATGCACTGCAGCATTATTTACAATAGCCAAGATACAGAAGCAACCTAAGTGCCCACAAATAGATGAATGGATAAAGATGTGGTATACCTACAATGTGATATTACTCAGCCATAAAAAAAGAATGAAATCTTGCCATTTGTGACAATACAGTTGGACCTAGAGGGTATTAGGCTAAGTAAAATAAGTCAGAGAAAGGCAAATATCATATGATTTAACTTATATGTGGAATCTAAAAAACAAAACAAATGAACAAATGTAACAAGTCAGAAACAATCATAGATAGAGAATAAACAGGTGGTTGTCATTGGGGAGGGAAGTTGGGGGATGACTAAAACAGGTAAGGGAGATTAAGAGGTATAACCTCCCTGTTACAAAATACATGAGTCCCAGGGATGAAATGTACAGCATGGGGAATATAATCAATATTATAATAACTCTGTATGGTGACAGAGGAGAACTAGACTTATGGTGATCATTCTGTAATGTATAGAAATATTAAATCACTATATTGTACATCTGGAACTAACTTAGTGATGTAAGTCAAGCATACTTAAATTGTAAAATAATTTTCCCGAAGAAAACAAAGCAGACAGACAGACAGACACACACACGTATTTCGGTTGCCAACATTTAAAATTCCCACAAAACATTTATATAAAATGTGGATTTATTTTGAAAAAGTAGACATTCTGGCAACACTTATTAGACTGCATTCCCCTTGACTGGGGCCAAGGAGAAGAAAGCACTATCTGGTCTGCCATAGCCCTATCACTTTTTATGATGTCACACTGAGTCATCCACCCACTGTGAGTTACCTAACTCTGGAGTCATTTGAGTTCGTGATGCTGGGTATAGTGAGTAAAGGAGAGAGAATTTAAGAGATTTAGGTGTTAGTGCTGACTCTGCCATAAACCAGCAGAATAACCCCTGGAAGTGCTTAGGCCCTGGGTTTCCTATTCTTAAAGTTTGGAAGTCTAACCCTGAAGTCTAACCCTGAGGTTTTATGATTCTCTTTTCTGGTACGTACTGAGAAGCAACTGCTGAATTTTCCTTCCCAAGTCTCACTAGAAGTGACAGTGGCAATCATCAACATGAAATGTTCTCAAAGCAAAATAGAAGACAACTAGAACCTCATTTAAAGAAGTTCCAAATGACAAGATGTCTTATAAAATTTTCAGTGGATTTTAAAATATTTCTAGTAAAAATGCTAAATCAACTTTCTTTATGGCTATGAAGTATCATGTCTACTAGATAATCTGGCAAACACAAAGAAAAAGAGCATGAATGATTTGGACAAGGTTTTCATGTTTTTGTCTCCACACTAGAGTTTTCTACAATGTATAAATTTCTTTAAGGGTATTAGTATATGAATTTTAGTAATGATATTAATAGAGAATAATACTTTCAATTATTGAAAACATTATATTCCTGGCACTGTAGGTAATGTTACATGGGTTAACTTTTCATTATTTAATCCTTACAACTCTGTAAGAGTGTAAACGGCATTATTTTCTTTTCATTTTACAGGCTCAGAGAGTTTAGGTAACATTTTCAAAATCACACAGCTAGTAGTATGTGCCAAAGCTGGGTTCACACCTATGTCTGCCTGGCTTTAACAGCCATTGCAATATATAAACTTTTAAAGCTAAATAAAAATAATACTTGCAGTGGTAAAAATCTGAAGGAAAAGAAACAAAAGTTTTTAAAAACACAGTGTACACACACACACACACACACACTTCTACCCCCAAAGGAAACTGTTGCTAGCATTTTGGCTTATTTCTTTTCTGTTCTTCCTTTTTTGCTTTTAATAATTTAGATTATACTAAACATATAATTTTAAACAGGACCAGGGATTGAAATTTTGGGGTTTCAGTATTGGTCCTTGGCATTTTTATGTGACACTATGCAATAGAGAGCCTTCAGTTACCACCCCTGCAAAACAGTGACAAGGAAAGCAGGTAAAAGTATGGTTCTAAACAGCATTTTCATAACAGTGGCAATCTGGATACATAAAGTGCCCAATATGTGAAGAACGGTCAAAGCAGCCATGGTACATCCTTACAATATAGTCATTAAAACTGATGTTTACAAAATCTTTTCATGTCACGAGAAAAACCTGCCTAGATTACAAAAAGTAACGTCATATACAAAATTGTTGCATTTAGTTCTCAACGACTGACCCACCAACCCTGCAAAGGACTGTACACAACACCTTACCTCAAGCTTTTCAGCTACCACGCGGACCAAGCAATGCTCCTCCAGGTGGCCGGCAATCGCCAAGCGCGCGGAGATCCAGGTCACACTCCGATGGGTCCGCAACACTCTGCGCACACACTCCCTCCATAAGCGACACACGCTGGGGACGCAAACGCACAAAGGGCTGTGAACGGACGTTCACTTCTCTCTCTCCCGCGGCTCACAAACCACCGGCCCCCACCACCCATTAGCGCAGCTGCAGGAGATTCCTGCGGGATCCAAAGTCCCCGGGAGGGGGAGGCGTCGGGCGCCGGGTCGGAGGGAGAGCCGGGGGCAGAGAAAACCTGGCTCCTCTGGGAAAGGTCCACGGGAGCACTACGGCCGGGGTACCTAGCTTATGGGGCCACCACCTGGGGCAGGGGTAGGGATAGGGATAGGGAGCCCGGGTCATCCCTGGGTCCCGACGGTATCCGCCCACCCCGCCAGCCCAGGCAAGTCCCGAGGTAAGCTTCCCGCCTCCTCTCCCCTCACCCGGCCACCCGCAGCAACGCCTTGGCGGGCAGGAAGGTGAGGACACGCTCCACCACCTCCGCTAGGTTACTCAACACGAAGGTGCTTCGCGGGTCTGCGGGGGAGGAGCCGCGGCGATCACCGCCACCGCCACCGCCACCGCCCACCGGCTCCATGCCTCACCAACCCGACGGGGAAGCAGTACGGCGGCTCCGAGGGAGCTGCGTAGGCCGGGCCGCGCGCGTACTGAGCAGGCGCGCGCGCCACTTCCGGCCGGTCAGGGGAGGTGGTGCCGCTGAGGAGGCGCCCACGTGACTCCAAGCCAAAGCGTTTCCGGCGCTGGTCTGGGAGCGGCGGCAGGTTCTTGGAGGTGGTAGCCACGCGTCCTGTAATCCTCCCGTAACTTTCCAGGAGGCTTTCCACAGTCGAACCACATCCACCTCCTTCTGTGCCTCTCACTGCATTTGCAGCGGTATTTTCTTTGTCGGTACAGGTCTTTCTCTAATTCATGAGTTCTGGAAGGCACAGACTAAATAATGGGTCTTCACAGTCCCAATGCCTGTTAACAGCATGAGTCCAATTTTTGAACTGGCAGTATCTGCTTTAATAAACTGTGAAAATCACCATCTTTATTCAACACCGTGCAGCCCTCAAGTGCTGAATGTGTTCAACGGCTTAAAGAGCACCTACCATTGCTATGAAAGCACGCCCCCAAACACTAGTTCCCTGCTAGTAGCATCAGATTCACCTGAAAAATTCTGTTTGGCGTATTCTCGGTCCTCACCCCAGGCCTACTTAAACACTTGGGGGTGGGGCCCAGCAGTCGTAGTTTTAGCTTTACTGTGATTTAAGCTTTCCCGTGATGCAAGCCCAGCTTGAGAATCACAGATAGAAGGAATGTAAGCACAGCAGATACTGCTGTATCCCCAGCTAACATCTATTCCTCTTGCCCCTTCCTGGCTAACAAGGGCCTGATCTGATGCCCAGCTCTTGACTGGTAAATTTGGTTGGTCTAAACAAGCTGGTCTCAAACATTCTGGCCTCAGGACTGCTTCACAATCTTAAATATTGGCAACACTAAAGAGCTTCTTTAGATGGGTTATGACTATATTTACCATATTAAAAATTAAAACACTGGGGGCTTCCCTGGTGGCGCAGTGGTTAAGAACCCGCCTGCCAATGCAGGGGACACGGGTTCGAGCCCTGGTCCAGGAAGATCCCACACGCCTTGGAGCAACTAAGCCCGTGCCACAACTACTGAGCCTGTGCTCTAGAGCCTGCCAGCCACAACTACTGAAGCCCACGCTTCTAGAGCTGGTGCTCCTCAACGAGAAGCCACCGCAACAAGAAGTCCGCGGACTGCAACAAAGAGTAGCCCCCGCTCGCCGCAACTAAAAGAAAGCCCGCATGCAGCAACGAGGACCCAACGCAGCCAAAAATAAATAAATTTTATTTTTTTTAAATTAAAACATTGTAATATTAATTCACTTAAAATTTATGACACATAAACAAAATAACTTATGAAAAAATAACTTTACCAAATCTCCACCACTCTCCCCCTCCAATATTGAATAAGTGTAGCATCTTTACATCTTGCAAACCTCTAATTTCTGGCTTAATAGAAGACAGCTTGATCTGCTTCTGAATTCAATCTGTTGCAATATCACATCTATCACATCACATAGCCTCTGGAAAACTCCACTGTACACTTGTGAGAGAATGAGAGTGAAAATAGCAAATAATGCTTTAGTGTTAAGAGAATTGTTTTGACCTTAAAAACCTCCTAGATGGGTCTCAGGAGCCTCCAGCTTTCTCCAAATCATAACTTGAGAACCACTGGTCCATATTAATCATGAAGGTCTCATTCTTTTCACCAGCCATTAGTTTAGGGGTAGACACAGGCCCGAGTTGTAGCCAAGGAAAAGTGAGAGGCAATAATGCTTTGGGGGTGGGGGGGACTTCTAAAGAACTCCTCACTTCCTAAGGAGACACTAGACAACAGGACCATTATCTACCTCTGGATGGATTAAGGTGGCTGCACATCCAAGACAACAGTCTATCCAAAGATGAAACCAACATGGAAAAATCTCAAAGCAGCAGAGGTACCATGCCTAGAATTTTCCTACCTCTGGATTTCTTGTATGCGAGATAAACTGACAATTGTGTAAGAGGCTATGGGTATACTAAAGAGGGAGCAGATTACTGTAACTTGGAGAACTAGGGACAGCCATAAAGAAAGTAGCACTTGAATTTATATTAAAAAATGAGTGTGGGAGAAGGAATAGGTTGAGGAAGCCCTGAGTATGCCAAGTCTATACACACCAATTCTGGATTCTCTAGCTTTCTCTTGTGAAATCAATCTGCCTCTCTTCCCCTCAAGCCTCTCCTCACCGCATCCCACCATATATAATCCTATTCCAGAAACCCAACAGCCTGTAGAAACTTGAAGCAAAGACTATCTTTTATGAGGGAAAAGTGACAAAGTTATTTTTTAAATGGTTCTTTATTCATAAACTTGATGCAAGTTTACAAAATTTACTGTACATTGCCAAATAAATCTGCAATGAAAAATAAAGTCCCAAAAAAACCAAAAACCAAAAAAAAAAACCAAACAAACAAAGCATGCCGAATGTGCAGCTGTCAATCTGCTAGCCATCAGGATATTAAAGAATTCAATAACGTATTCAAGATTTAGCCTTAGGTTTAAGGAACTTTAATGCTTTAAAGAATTCTTCCTTTTCACTTATCTGAGCAACTGGCAATCATAACTTTATACAAATGTAACCAAGTGAACAAGAATGCCAGAAAATCTTTTTCTACTGTCTTCTTAACCAAAATAGAAAAAAAATAAAATAAAAGGAAATTAAACACAATAATGCAGAAGTGCCAAGTCTCTCAGATGTGGTTTACAAAGTTAAAAACTGAGTCTCAAAGCATAAGAAACACTTTTGAACTTTGTAATTGGTTTGTGCAGAAAAAAATGTGCTTCTGGATTTCTTTTTAAAAGTGCTTAATAACTAGAGTTTACTTTTAAATCAAATTTGGGTATATAAAAAAATCTACTACCAACCCAACAGGACTGATTCTGGTAAGGCAATAAAATGGAGAGTACACTGATTTAAGTCAGGTTTTATAAAAGAATTAATATATGTAGAGTTCCTATTAGTCTTTCAATGTAAAAGCCATTGTTATGACTATAGCAAAAACTTTAGGTCTCCAAATTAGATACTTTTTGTACTTAGCTGTGCAGTTTTTGTTCAAAGAATCTTTGTGCCAATCACTTTATAAGTTTATTAGTTTACAACTGATTGCAACATCCCGTTAATAAAATGGAAACGTAAAATGACTTAGTATTTAAAATAACTTCAAGCTCTATACTTCAAGCTCTTCTTCATAGTAAATATTGAACCAACAAGAAGCAGATTCAGCCCAGCAAGACTCTGATGCCCCAGTGGAAATGACTACTTACAAGCCTGAATTGGCACAGCCTTGCTTTGCTTTGCCTAAAAAGTACAACTTACTAAAGAGCAAATCTTGGAAAAACAATTCAGATCTTCATAGCCATAAAAAATAAAAAAACTTTAACAGTTTAATAAGTATGTTTCCTGTCATTATTTTGGCAATATCATAAAATGGTTTTAACCTGAAAAAGCTACTGTGATTTAGAACATCTTAAATTTTCTAAACCAATATTAAACATCAATTGAATTTTTATTGGCTTTAAATGGAACAATATATTGCAAATCCTCATAACACATGAGCTCAAAATGGGAAAGTTGCCCTCAAGTTGCAACTTCAGTAACCTGATGCTGACTTGTCTGCTTAACACATTTCACCTTTCAAAGAAAGAGATAAGGAGTGGCCAGTATGTGTATTTATCAGGAAAAATATAGTAAAGGCCCCACTGCTCAGTCCAAGATACCTAAAATGAGAAAAATGGAAAGGCTGTAACTTATACTGGATCAGTTGACAGATTATCCACTAAAATATCTATTAGCTAACATCTTCGGTACTGCTGTTATAGGGGCACTCAAAGCTTGTGTCTGCATGTTGGAAAGATTCTCTTTAAAGCAACATTGGTCCAAACATACAAAAGTCAACACATTTAGCCATCTTCCTTTGGAGGGGTGTACCAGCCTGAAAAAGAATGGGGGAAAAAACAGTTAAAATATTTTAATTCTTAAACCAACTAAGAGCAATGGCATTTTACCAAGGTTAGATACTTTCTCTACTCATAATTTTCCTCTGTAAGCCTACTTGGGTTGGTAACATAGCACTTTGATATTTATGTTCACAATATAAAGTTATTTTCTATGAATAAACTGTACTTGAGTTTTCAATATAAGATCTCTATATTAATGGCATTTCTACCAAAAGAGAACAGTGTGGAAATATTAGGCAACAAGCTAGGTTTTATATTTCATTTCAATTCGGTATTTGAAAGGAAACCACACTGAAAATAGCTATCCCCCAAACAAAATCCTGGTATTTTAGAATAAGAGGAACTTGGACTGTCATCAGGCAGTGATGTCATTTTACCAGTGAGGATGCCATCTCAGCAGGTGCACTGATTAAGTAAGCCCAAGATCAGATTTAGCAGAAGATACCAGAAGCCATCTCCTGAACCTGAATCTATCGCTCTTTCACCATAGCTAATTATACACACACCCACACTTTCTCAAATACAGTTTCCATAAACATTTTTGAATGCTGACTACAACATCTAATTTAACAAAAAATAAGACATAAGAAAAAAATATGTTTCTAAGCTCAACAAAAATATAAGCTCTCTCTAAAAAGGCAAATGAGATTAAGTATTGCTTGGTACGAAATTGCCATTGGAACAGTATGAATATACCAAGATTTGTGAAGCATCCACGTGGTTAATGAAGTAGCATACAGGAGTCTTTGGGTCTGTTAATTTAGGGTGCTGGAGATTATTATTATGAAAACCCAGCTTTGTCCTCAAGTTTTTTATCATTTCCCTCTTCAGAAGCTTGAAAATTGTTCTGAATACTACTCTTTCAGAAGTAAGCAGTCACTGCAAAAGTGGCAAGTTTGCTCTCTCATTAAAATAAAAGTGAGCACAGACAAAACACAAATCCTAAGCCACAAACTACCACATTCTAGCAAAGTAAAGAACACTTTACTGTAAATACTCTTGAAGAAAACTACTTCCTATCAATTTACTTACTCTGCACAAAAAAGCATCAGTTTCACTACCCCAGCTACCACGAATATCAGCACTTGGTTATAAAATGCTGTGCGTACACACTACTTGCTTTTTCCTCATGTTCGGCAAGACAGACATCATGCCAATTTTAGAGATGAGGAAACTGAGGCTGAGCAGTAATGGGACTAATTACCCATTAGCTAATGGGTGACACAAATGCCACTTGATAATAGGTCTCCTGATTCCAGGTCTACTTGTTTATTGCCTCACTATTAGAGACAAAAGCTCCAAACATGCATTGTGAAAATAAGCAAAATTTTAAAAGGCCAATAAAGTTTTGAAAGATATTTTAATATTTTTTTAAAATTTACAACTCAAATATTCTTATGTATAAACTGAAATCAGTACTTTTTTACTTGAATAATAAATGTGTACAATTGTCAAAAAGCATTAAGTAGTCTGAAGATGTTTCAGAAAGTGGTTCATGATCCTGATTGCATTTACTCAGTATTAACAGCAAGAACTCCACCTTTAGAGTTGCCTTTAACTCAATTCCTATCCCAATACCATACATTTCAAGTGAGTAAAGTGATCCATTCCTCAATCTACTCAAAAATCTTGACTCTGACTCAGAGGTTCGCAGGCCAAGTATTTAGGATACAAAGATTTTGAATGAAACACTGTGTGTGTATCCTCAGGTTAAACTTTTTCACTGTAGTGGCTGTACTTTGTAAGAAATTAAAGCAAAAACAGAAGAATAAAACATGATAAATATCAACAGTACATTATGTAAAATTTCATAAATGGCAATAAATACTTATTTAACTAAACATACCATTTTTCTCATGTATCTGTACAATGGAATTATAGGATTGTTGGGCTCTTGCTAGATTATATTGATTCTGAAAGAGAATTATACATTTTATATCAAAACTATAAGTAGATGAAAATCATTACAAATAATTTATGGATGCATCACTGCTGTACTTAAAAGAACACAGGAAACTAAGTTATATTTCCATTTCCAAAATAAATTTCTCAATTTCATTATTCTCTACCATTTTAGAGGGACAACAAAACCGTAACTGTTCTCTAGGAAAGATCTACAAAATTCACAGTTCATTTTTATAAGTCCTCCTACCACTGCACAAGTACAAGGCTTTATGAATAAACTTAAAGGATGCTATTTGGATGCAAGCAGAAAAACTCTTCCTCATAACTTCCATCAAAAAAAAAAAAAAAAAAAAAGAACGACAAAATATTACCTTCAGGTAAGGAAACATTAGGCTTTAAGGACTACACATATGAATGACATTTTGAGTTAAAAATCTAAAGAATGTCCAAGTGGCATCAAGCCATTCCTAAAGGAGTCTTCTTTTGTTAACCTCTAGATCAGAACCTCTTTTAAGGGGCCAAGTTTAGCATTAATTTTATCCCCATGAGTACAACTGGCCTACATCTTAACTTCCAGTTAATACATCATAAGCATTCTCCATAGTGGTACACACCTATTATATTATGTCACAGAATTTTTAAATAAATTCACACAGCATAAGAATAAATGTATAAACATATTCTAAGTAACAACTCTCCTTCCTACCTGTCCTGAAACCACCCAGTTCCTCCCCTATCCACCTTCCTTCTTCTACCCAAATTAAATACTGTTATTAGTTTCCTTCTTCTACCCAAATTAAATACTGTTATTAGTTTCTTTCTTGTATAACCTTAAGGTTATACAAGAAAATTAATGTACAGCCTATTGTTGTCAGTCACTGTCCCCTGCTTTTTCCTCTCAACAAATGATAGGTAGCATGACAAAGTAAAAAATTATATCCTCCTGGTTAAATGAGACTTTCATCATTAAGTAGTTGCTAATGCTTTCTGTTCCAAAATCAAATTGTTTGATACTGCAGCTACATCATCTTTTTGTTAGTGTATACAGGCAAACCTCATTTTATTGCACTTCACTTTACTGCACCTAGCAGATATTGCCTTTTTTACAATTTGAAGTTTCTGGCAACCCTGCGTCGAGCAGGTCTATAGGCTCCATTTTTCCCAGCAGCACTGGCTCATTTTGTGTGTCTGAAATATTTTGAATTACCAAAATGTGACACAAACTTTTTCATTGCTATATCTGTTACAGTGATCTGGGATCAGTGATCTCTGGTGTTACTACTACAACTCACTGAAGACTCAGATGATGTTGTCAATGTTAGCATTTTTTAGCAGTAAAGTTTTTTTTAATTATGGCATGTACATTGTTTTTTAGACATAAGGCTATTGCACACTTAATAGACTGCAGTATAGTGTACATTTTGTATGCACTTGGAAACCAAAAAGTTCATGTGACTTGCTTTATTGTGATACTGGCTTTATCGAAGTAGTAGTCTGGCACTGAACCCATAACAGCTCCAAGGTATGCCTATACTGGCCTATCTTTATCGTTCTTCTTTAAAAAAAATTTTTTTTTCAATCTCTTTGTATCCTCACAGTTTAAATATACTTCTTGTGACAAACCATAATGTAGAAGAATATAAAAAATAATATATTTACATATGTATAAATGAGTCACTTTGCTGTACAGGAAAAAATTAACACAACATTGTAAATCAACTATACTTCAAAACAATTTTTTAATAAAAATAAACAAATACACTTCTTAAAGACCACTTTTTTTTTCTTTTTCTGCGGTACACGGGCCTCTCACTGTTGTGGCCTCTCCCGCTGCGGAGCACAGGCTCCGGACTCGCAGGCTCAGCGGCCGTGGCTCACGGGCCTAGTCGCTCCGCAGCATGTGGGATCTTCCCAGACTGGGGCACGAACCCGTGTCCCCTGCATCGGCAGGTGGACTCTCAACCACTGCGCCACCAGGGAAGCCCAAGACCACTTTTTAATTTGAACTGTCTAACTGGTAACTTTAGTCCATTTTTATTTGTTATGACTTATTTATTTGGGCCTGCTTCTACAACTTCACTTTCTGGTTCCTATTTCTCTCTTTAATATAATTTTATTATCTCCTCCTGGGATTCGAATAAGACATGTTTTAGACCTCGTTCTGATCTCTACAACTTCTGCTGTACTGTCTACCCCCAGGTCTCTCTGTGCAACATTCTGAGTTATTTCTTCTAATCAATTAATTCTCTCTTCTGATGTCTAATCTATTGTTTCTCATTTCAACATTTTTCATTTCTATAAATTCTATTTCATTCTTTTTCAGATCTGTCTCATCATTCCTGGTCTTATCATTTGCTCAATTTTATGATTCTTTTTTCTTTACACTAGATTTTACATATAATTATTCATTTTCTCAAAATTCTAGTACCTGCTAATTCCAAAACCTCAAGTCTTTGGGAATATGTATCTCTTATTCATCGTTTCTGCCAGTTCTCATGTATGTTAGGTTGTCTACCTATGTGCTTGTCCTCTTTCGCTGAATTCGTATTTGCTTGATCTTAATCTTTGAGAATCTTACAGGCTTAAATTAGAAATGCTTTCCTCTGAAGATTGTGTCTGCTGCTGATGAGAACTGTGGATACAACTAACATGAAACCACTTTAGTCCCCTTGGAGAATCTCGGGATTATTCAAGGTTCCCAGATTCGGCTCCCCAATCTCGCTCATTTTATAATAGAAGACTGGAGTGCTTAGCATAGGTAACAACTTCCCCCGGGGGGGGGGGGGAATCAGTTCTCTCATCTGAATGTGATCACTGACTAGGGGATCCTATAGGTAAATAACTGGAGGTCTATGTGCTGTAGAGAAGACAGATGCCTTTCCTGATGATAGAAATAGCTAGTTAGGGCTGTGTGCTCTAGGACTTCACTATTTAGCTCAACTACCATTACCCTCCAAACAGTGAACAGAAGCTTCTTAGAAGGCACTGTCTTGCCTATCTAAACCCCCAATTCCTGCTAAAAGTCATATGATCAGACCTCTACTTTAGAAGGCTTTCTCACTACTATAGCCTAGAGTTAATGTTACAGTCTATATTCTATTCCATGTTAACTGAATAAGAAAACCAGCTTTGCCAAGATCCTTCTGTCCCAGGCATAGCTGCAGATCCTCAGCTCTATCAATCTGACCCTATCTCCAAATTTCATGTGTGTGGATGGGCAACTTTTTCTGTTTTTCAGTACTTACGTATATTTATCTCATTTTAATAAGATTTTTTTAGGGTACAAACTCATTTATTTTGAACCAATAGCTGACAGTATTTTTTTATATTTTAAATATTTCTGAATAGTTGTATGGCAAAAAGAAATTCAAATAGCACAAATGATTTACAGTAAAGTCTCCCTCCCAATTCTAACCTGCCCCCTCAATATTTCAACACTCCCTTGTCAGAAATAATCGTTATTAGCATTTTCTTGAATATCCTTTCAGAGATATTCTCTGCTTATAAAAGCACATCTATAATATGTCCTTGTCTATCCCTCTTACACAAATGGTAGTGTATTTTTAACACCATTTAGCACCTTACTTTTTTGATAGTAGTATTTTTAAAGTTAACATTCAGACTATTCCCTGCTGAGTAGAAGGGAAGGTAAAACTCATATTACATCATGCAAAGTTTCTACATTCTTAACTGACAAATATTTCTTAATAAGAAAAAAAAATAGAAGGGTAAGGTTTCACCTTGACAATTAAAAAAATTCACCTTCTAAGACATACTCTAATATGCAAACATATTTAGCTGCCTAACTTGGCACTCTATATAAATGGTTATATTTACTTGCTAATAAAACTACAATTATGAAAATGTAAAGGTTTAAGGCAATTATATTGAAATTGATTGATTCCAAGGGGATTACAGCACTGAACAAAGATAGCGTATTGTTATTACAGAATGTTAAAACTGGAAGAAACTTAAAATATCCAGATCAATTGTATTTCAGGTAAAGATACAGATGCCCAGAGAGGTAAGTTTACAGTGTGAGTTATTGGTAAAAATGGTCTTTCAATTACTCAAAAAAAAATCACTGTTCTAAGCCTTCTGTATTTTCTCTTAATGGGAAAACACACTAATTAAAAAAAAAAATGATGAAATTTAACATCAAGTTCTACATATAAATAAATGCCAGGAAGAAAATTTAAAAGACTGGAAGTACACCAAAATGCTAATAGTATTTCTAGACACTCAAATTACAGATGACTTTTTTAGTTTGTATTTATTTCTATTTGTATTGTATAGTGAGCATAAATTGTCATTTAGAAAAACAAAGTTTTGATGTTCTAATACATCATTCTATTGCCGCATTTAAAATACCTAAAATACATACACTGTTAAGAAACACTAGTTAAATGTAGTTATAAGCAATTCACTACTTTTCAATTAACTTCTAGATTTTATACAAAATTGTACTTTGTTCTAATGCAAAGAAATAGCTGTTTAAAAAGCTAAAAGTAAGTTATTTGATAATATTATCCCAAGTATATAATTCTGTAAAACAGCCTTTTCAATTTTTTGCTTCCCCTGTGAGTTAAGATTCTAGTGGGCTCACGATTTGATGTGCAATACAGTTATAAATACCTATGTAGATTTAGTACTATTTGGATAGGCATTTAATACAAAATTCACAAGAAACTTTAGGAACATCCAGATTTTTTTAAATGTCAGGTCAGGATGATTTCCATCACATATTTTTGCAAAACATACTAACTTCAGAGTACATCCTTAAGTGTCCACTTAAGTGTTTATAGATAACTCCAATTAGACATGAAAAGATACTTCTGATATAGTAAGTGAATAAAGAAAAGAACTCAGTGGTTAAGAGCAGAGACTAACGGCCAGAAAGTCTGGTTCCAATCCTCACTCTGCCACCTGTGACCTTAGACGAGTTACTAACTTCTGTGTGCTTCAGTTTCCTCATCTACAAAATGAGGACAATAACAGCACCTACTTTTAGGTTATTAAGAGGACTGAAAGTTAATACAAATAAAAAGTTTAGATTACAGCCTAGCACGTATATGCTCACTGGGAATTAACTATTACAACATGATCTCAATTTTTGGAAACTTACAACTACATATAATTTTTTTTACTTATTAGTATATATAAACCAAGAATAAATTTCAAATTATAGACATATTTAACTATAGTAGAAATAACAAAGACTAAGAGAACAGAAAGAAGCCTCCTCATAAGATAACAGGAAATATATCTTATAGTTTATGTGACATTCTTAATAAAAGTACCTTATTTGCACCAAACTGCACTCTGGCTTTGCCTTTGACTAAGGTGGCATTGATTTGCATGATGACCGATTCTATTGAATAGGCACTGCTCCAGCCCTACAGAAAGAAGAAAACACTTTTTTAAAACACAGTGGTATTCTTGATTCCCAGTTAGGAAAGCTTAAGAAAATGGCATATAATGACTCAATAACAGCAAATTAATGTTAAGAAGTTTGTGGTCAAGGAGTAAAAGTAAAGTTGGACCATTTCCAAAATCTCACAAAAAAACGAAGCAAAGCAAACCAACATTCGAAGTGCTAAAAATGAGCAAATTACAACTTTAAATATACATCACTCTTATTGCCCATCCTAGCATAGATTAAGCAGCAAGTACAATGTCATTTTACTGGTTTAAAAAGCTTTCATTATTAAAAGTAGGTGCTTTTAGCAAAAAACAAAAATTATGTTAAAGTAGGTACTATTACAAAGAGCTCTGTCCACTTAGAATCTAATTTACATAGTTAAAACACTCTATGTTTGAAAAACACGAGTACCATAAGAAAATAGTCACCTGTTTCGTGAGTAGTTCCATGCATAATGCTCCACCACCCAACACATACCTTAAAAAGAAAAAGGAATCATACAAAATTCTCTAGATCTTGGTATTCCTTCTTCATCAATTTTTAAAGTACCATTACTAAGAAAGTATGCATACAAGTAAAGATTAGAAGATAACATGCAAAAATGAAAATAGTTGTTAAGAGTTACAGGACTATGGGTAATTCTAAAATTCTGATGTCATCGTCTAAATGTCTTTTTTTTTTTAAATAATAGTTCTTAATAACAGAAGACTTTTAAGGTATCAGAAACTAAGCCCTAAATATTCCAGAGAATGGGGGAGAAAAATTTCCTTATATGGCCTTCAACTTTTCTCCTCAACCAAAGATTTCTCCACCATCATGTTACACAGCCAAAAGTTTTTCCTCTGACAGGAGTGACTTTACCCTATCTATAATAATGAACATCTGCATTTATATTTATAGTTAAAAATTTTTTTCATTCTGTTTTGAGGATCAAATGGTTCTGACCATGGAGCCCCTCTCTGGGACTCCCCTATTTCTCTTCCCAGTCCTGAGGACTGTTCTCTGAACCAACGACAATTACTGGGGATTTCCCAGATCTCTGTTAGGAAATCATTATTTAGATCAAGATTCTTCAGCCTTTTAACACTTTCTCAAACAAAGTAATTCCTCCTTTAATGTTAAACTTTAAAACACATTAGGACTTCCCTGGTGGTGCAGTGGTTAAGAATCCGCCTGCTAATGCAGGGGACATGGGTTCGAGCCCTAGGTCTGGGAAGATCCCCCATGCCGCGGAGCAACTAAGCCCGTGTGCCACAACTATTGAGTCTGTGCTCTGGAGCCTGCGAGCCACAACTACTGAGCCCATGTGCCACAACTACTGAAGCCCATGCTCCGCAACAAGAGAAGCTACTGCAATGAGAAGCCTGTGCACCGCAACAAAGAGTAGCCCCCGCTCGCCACAACTAGAGAAAGCCCGCACGCAGCAACGAAGACCCGATGCAGCCAAAAATAAATAAATAAAAATAAATAACTAAATTTATTTTTTAAAAAAAGAGCTCGAATCTTTAAAAAAAATCATTAAATATCACGCTTAAAAATAAAATCAAAGGAATGGTAATTACAGAAGAAAAACTGTGGTAATCTTGAAAATACATAAGGTAAGACCACTGATCAGGTCTAGGTGAAAAGTGAGTCTACCACAAATTTTTTTTGTCCTCTGGGACTTTGCCCATGCCTTTCCCTTCCTTGCCTGAGATTCCCACTGCTGCCTACTCTTCCAAATGCCATATTCCCCCCTGCCCCATAAAACTTTCCAAGACCATTCTAGCCAGCAAATTTTGCATTCTGGCTAACCAAATGCATCCTTGTGTTGACTAAACCAAATTACACATAAGTAAGCAATCTAAAAACTTCTACTGTAGACCATTAGTAAAAACAGTTACAGTGAAATTATTCACTATCATAAAGTAGTCAGTAACTACCCCCATCCTGAAGAATTTAGGCAACTGTCTCTCTTACTTGCTTGTCCCAACTTCTGGGAACTTTCAAAGTAAAAGTTTAATACAAAGGAAAGAAAAACACTCCAAAAAATTAAATGAGGGAGGAGAATCATGGGATTTTAAACTTTGTATATTCTCTTATGTTCCTGAAACTCAGAAATCTGTCTCCAATTCTCTGAATCTCCCACTGGGCTCAAAGTGCATCTTGTATATAGTCAACTTTAAACAAGCACTTGCTGATTTAACAGAATTACAAGATCCAAGTTCTCATTTGGATTTTGGCTCCTCCAAAACTGCTCAAAGTCTAGTAATCTGTTAATGAGTTAACACTCATTACACTCATTGGTCCTTACACTTCAGAAATGCTAAATAGAAACATTTTAGCAAAAGGAGATTTGTAGATGACACTGAGTCACGAATTATCTAACCACCACCTTCCCTTTTAGCACCCCACTCTTCATTTTGGGGTGGAGAGTCTTGTCAGGAGGGAAGAAGGGAAGTTTTCATACTTGTAGATCAAAACAAAGTACATTTTCTACAAGCACATAATAGCTACAAAAATGTTTGTTGGATGTCTAACAAGACAGAAGTAGTTCTAGTACCTATACAAAAAGTGAGCTAAGTATATATTAATGCATATTAAACTTTTCCTTAATATACACTTACTAAACTTTTCCTTAATATATACTGTCAGCAGCATTTACACCTAAAAAAAGTAGCCAATTCTACTTTTGTACTGTATCATTTTATCAACTCTACTTCTGTACTGTATCATTTTATCAATATGTTTTCCAAGCGCTTATTGCTCTTTGCCTCCAAAGAGTTCCTGCTGAATATTGAGACAATCCAAGAACACTACAAAAAAAATAATAATCTAAGAGTCATCTAAAGATAAAATGCCATATACATGGGCATAGTAATATTTTCAACTTAAAAAAAATTTCAATTGCCAAAGTTGTAAAGCAAACAGTATCCTAAGCTCAGCCTCTTCAGGCATTCAATTTATAGAATTTTTGTTTTACTAGAAGGTTCCTGCAAGAATGTTTGCCAGCTAACCTCCCCACCCACAGTCTATGATGATCACTTAATTGCTTTGAGGGGACAACAGATACCATTAATCAGTACTTAAGGGGACAACAAGTAACATTAATCATACAACATGATTCTTAAATCATATAACATGATCCAAAAAACAGAGATGAGAAATAAAATTTTTATATTATAGTCAAATTCTTGATAATGACATTAAGAAAAAAGACAGGCTTATCAGCCGACATAGAACAATCATAATCCTCCCCTTTCGAGCTAAGGAAAGGGGCAATGGATTCTAAGAACAGAGCCCTAAGAGAGGGATAAAGAAAATGCTGACATTTAAAACCAGTTTCTTAAGATAATGTTCTCTCAATAAAGACAGAAACAACCCATGGTCATCTAGAAGTAGAAGTATTTTCTTTGTGGATGACTGGGACACAAAGAATACTTCTTACTATATCAACCAATAAAGCATCTTCAGTAGCCTACAAACAGCTCTCTCACAATATATTGTATTATCATCAAATAATCTTTCTGATTCTCACTACACTACGCCCTGGACTAAGCAAGAAAGATGGTCAAGTTTCGATGGCTCAATAATATAGCTCATAAAAATACCAGTGGACTGGGAATTGTATATTACCCTAAATTGCCTACATCTTGCTAACTTACTATATTTTCCTATCTCGTTCATTCATTCAAAAATATCTACTGCATATATAGTATGGATGCTAAAGCACTGAACCAGACACAGAGCATACAATGAAGAAAACTGACATGACCCTGCCTTCATGATGTTTACAATCCAGTAAAGATAACAGATGTTAAACAAATAAAGTGGGGGATGGAGACCCAGAGTTCTGTGAGAAGGAAAAACCAGGAGGCTTATTTTAAATTTGCTGGTCAGGAACAGCATATCTAAAAGTGACACACAGGCTGAGACCTGCAGGAATTGAAGTGTGGGTGGGAATAACATTCCAAGCAGAGGAAATGTATATGGAAGTCATGAGGAAAGAGTCTGCTCGGCACTAGGGGCTGAAAGACAACTAGTGGGGCATTAGCTCAGAGAGGAAAAGTGTAGTAACAAGATGAAGAGGAAAGCAAGGGCAAGATCACAGAGGGCGTGCAGAATATGGTAAGGACATCAACCTGTAGGAGCAGTGGGAAGACATGTGAAGAGCTTAAGCAGGGGAGCAACATAATCAGAACAAATTTGTAAAAGCTCACTCTAGAGAAGCTTTATGAATGAGGGAATGGAAGCAGGAGTCTGATCAGGAATCCTCTGAAGTGATCCAACTGGGAACTGATGGTGGTAGCAACAAAAATGGAGACAAGTAATTGGATCTGAGAACTCTTTAAAAGGGAGAATCAAAGGAAAATGAGGAAAAGGTGATACAAAGAATGACTCCTAGGTTCATTAATTAAGATAAGCAAGACTGGGGAAGGGAAACTGAAAAGAAGATGGGTTCAAGTTTTTGTCCTGAAGAGTTTGAGGTGCCTGTATAAGAGACATTCAAGTAGAGGTGTCAAGAAGGCAAAAGGATATTGGAAGCAGAAAAGACATAGGGATGTGAGATACGAACCTGGGAGTCACTGGCACATAGAAATATTTCAAAAGCCATGGGAGCTTTTTCAACGAATCATGCTAGAGCAACTGGACATTAAGCAAAAATCTATGACCTACACCTCATACCTTATGCAAAATTTAATTCAGAATGATTCACAGACTTATCTGTAAACTGTAAAACCTTGAGGAAAAAAAGGTAGGAGAAAATCTTTGGGATCTAGGACTAGAAAAAAAGTTTTTAGATTTGACACCAAAAGCATATCTATATAAGGAGAAACATCTATAAATTTGACTTCATCAAAACTAAAATATTTTGTTCTACAAAAGATTCTGTTAAGAAGATGAAATGAAGCTACATACTAGAAGAAATTAAAAAACCACATATCCAGGGTTTCCTGGGTGGCGCAGTGGTTGAGAGTCCGCCTGCCGATGCAAGGGACACGGGTTTGTGCCCCGGTCCGGGAAGATCCCACATGCCGCGGAGCAGCTAGGCCCGTGAGCCATGGCCGCTGAGCCTGCACATTCAGAGCCTGTGCTCCGCAACGGGAGAGGCCACAACAGTGAGAGGCCCGTGTACCGCAAAAAAAAACAAAAAAAAAAAACAAAAAAAAACACATATCCAGCAAAGGACTATTATTTAGAATATATTTTTAAAACTTTCAAAATTCAACAAAATACAATCCAATTAGAAAACTGGCAAAAGACATGAACAGATATCTCTTGGAAGAGTATATAAAGCTGTCAAATAAGTACGTGAAAGATATTCAACACTGGGGAATATTAGGGAAAGCAAGTTAAAACCACAATGAGACATCACTACACACCTAACAGAATGCCTATAATAAAAACAAGTGACATCACCAAATGCTGGCAAGGATGTGGAGAAAGTGTGTCACTCACACATTCTTGGTAGGAATGTAAAATGGTAAAGCCACTCTGGAAAACAGTTTGGTAGTTTAAAAACTCTATATGCAATGACCATATGACCCAGCAATTGCATTCCTGGACTTGTATCCCAGAAAAAGGACAATACATTCACAAAAAACACCTGTACACAAGTATTCATAGCAGCTTTACCTGTAATACCCAAACACTGAGATCAGTCTAGAAGTCCTAAAGCAGATTACTGGTTAACCAGACTGTGGTACATGGTGCACCATGGAATACTACTCAGCAATAAAAAGGAACAAAGTAGTCAGATGCTTAGATGACTCTCTAACTATGAGTTAAAAAAAAAAGCTAATCCCTAAAGTTTGCAATCCAAAAATGTATGATTCCATTTATGTAAATTGTTTTTGAAATGACAAAATACTAAGAATGCAGGACAGATTAGTGGTTGCCAGGAATGAAGGGAAGAGGGGGCATTACAGTAAAATGGGTATGGTTTAAGGGGGCCTCAAGAAGGATCCTCATGGTGTTGGAACTGTTCAGTACCTTGACTGTGGTGGCGGATACATAAACCTACTCAATATAGAACTTAATACACACATACACACACGAGTTATAAGTAAAACTAGGAAGATCTGAATAATCTCTACTTATCGTATCACTATCTCTGTATCACTGTCTCATACTGTATCACTGCCTCCTCGTAATATTATACTACAGCTTTGCAGAAATGTTACCACTGGGGAAAACAGGCAAAGGGTACAAGGTATTTCTATTATTTCTTACAACTGTGTGCAAATACAATTAACTCAATTAAAATTTTAATTTTTAAAAAAAGGCAAAGGAGGGCTTCCCTGGTGGCGCAGTGGTTGAGAGTCCGCCTGCCGATGCAGGGGACACGGGTTCGTGTCCGGGTCCGGGAAGATCCCACATGCCGTGGAGCGGCTGGGCCCGTGAGCCATGGCCGCTGAGCGCGCGTCCAGTGCCTGTGCTCCACAACGGGAGAGGCCACAACAGTGAGAGGTCCGTGTACCGCAAAAAAAAAAAAAAAAAAAGGCAAAGGAATGACGGGAAAAGAAAAAAGGACCCAGTACTAAATTCTGAAGAACTCCAAGAGGTAGAAGTTAAGTGAACAAGGAGTTTCCAGCAAAAGAGACTGAGAAGAGGCAGTCAGAAGCCAAGGGAAAAATGTTTCAGTGTTGCTGAGAAATCTGATAATCAGATATGACAGAGCCTGAAAAGGGACTTCTGTCCAATACCAAAGTCCCTATCAGCTATACCAGTTTCTTAGGAACACTAACAGCCAATGCCAGACTACATGGGGCTGAAAAGTGAACAGGAAGTGAAGAGTGTGGTTATATACACATTGCTTGTGGGAATGTAAATGGCGCAGCCACTTTGCAGTCTGGTACTTCATCAAAAAGTTAGTTACCAAAGGACCTAGTGCCTCCTCACATAGGTATATGCGAAAGAGAAATGAACATGTGCACACAGAAGCGTGTACATGAATATTCACAGCATTATTCATGATAGCCCAAGGGTGGAAAAAACAAATGTCCATGCATAAATAAAATGGAATGAAGTATTGATACATGCTGCAACGTGGATGGACCTTGACAAATTTTTTTTAATATAAATTTATTTTATTTATTTATTTTTGGCTGCATTGGGTCTTTGTTGCTGCACACAGGCTTTCTCTAGTTGCAGCGAGCAGGGGCTACACTTCATGCGGTGCGCAGGGCTTCTCACTGCGGTGGCTGCTCCTGTTGCGGAGCATGGGCTCTAGGCACACGGGCTTCAGTAGTTGTGGCACGCAGGCTCAGTAGTTACGGCACACAGGCTTAGTTGCTCCACAGCATGTGGGATCTTCCTGGACCAGGGCTTGAACTCATGTCCCCTGCATTGGCAGGCAGACTCTCAACCACTGCGCCACCAAGGAAGCCCACAAATTTTGTTAAGTGAAAGAAGCCAGTCACGAAAGGCTGTAATTTGTTTGGTTCCATTTAAATGAAATGTCCAGAACAGGCAAATCCAGAGAGACAGAAAGGAGATTAGTGGCTGCTGGTGGGTGGGGTGTAGGAGGGAGGAATGAGAAGTGATTGCTAATGGGTACAGAGTTTCTTTTGGAAGGTGCTGGAAATTAGTCGTAAAGGTTGCACAACTCTCAGTATACTAAACCACTGAATTATATACACTTTAAAAGGTAAGTTTTATCATATGTGAATTGTATCACAATAAAGCTGTTATGTTTAAAAAAATTTTTTGACTATGACAAGAAACAAATAAGGGAGTAGCTAGGAGATGTGGGATATAAAATATCTGGAACAAAAATTGCTTAATAATCTATCCAGAGTCACAGTGTTCAAGCTTTAGCCTTATTCTAAGATTGCAAGCTCTGTTCTATCAGGCTTCACACTTTTTAGTTCTTCTTTAGTTCTTCCCGTGTCAGCCAGTAATTCTTCCTCTTTACTTAATAGTAGATTGTTATTTTGATTTTGCCTCAAAATCATTTTGATTCTGCCTCAAATCAGCACTCACCTTTCATTCATCTTTCCATTCCCATTACTACTGTACCAATTTAGGTTCTCATCACTTCATCCTAAGACAGTGGCCTCAGCTCTAGTTAACAAGGCTCGCATTCTTCCAGGTTTTGTGAATATAAGTTTGTCCTGTAGTCTCTTCTACTGTCACCATATTTATCTAAAACATTCTCTTTACTGTTATTTCCCTGTTCCTGAACCAGTTACAGAAAAATAAATTCAATATCCATGGGAAATAGTTTGCTCACCAATCCATGCTCCTATATAATTATAAGATATTGTCAACACAATTTCTTATAATTCTCCTATATGAATTCTACCCCTCTTGTGTTATAGCTCAAACTGATCTGGTACACTTTGAATACATCATGCTCTTTCCCAAATGAGTGACTGTGTTTACTTTTCGCCTACACAGACAATTTTCCTTCAACCTCCATCAGTTGACCAAACCCCACCGAATACTTCATGGCCTAGCTGAGATCCCACCTACTTGTCCAAGTCTTCCCAGATCACTATCGCCAGAAGCAATCTCCTTCTCCTTCAACCTCAGAGAACTTAAGTCCATATTTAACATTTGACAATCAGCTGAGTACTCAATACTTTTAATCTTTTACATTGCTGGCTTTTCGTATAATGGAAAAATACTTTATTAGAAGTTAGAAGATTTATCTGGATAAGTCACCAGCTTATTATTCCAGTTATTCACTTGAATAATGGGAAAATAACCCCATTTGGTAAAAGGAATCAATGAAGAGAAACTGTTCAATATATAACAGATTTTTAAACTGAAAATGGCATTATTCATAATTTCATGTGTTTTCTCTACAACAAGGTGGTAAACTACTAAGATCATAAATTCTTAAAATTCTTGGGATTTTTCACAACAGAATGTGAAAAATCTATGTCAAGTTTACATGAGATTTCAAAATGATCTGATAAAAATATTTTTATATATTTATCCTGAATTTACAAAAAGTTTCCAAATATTTTCCTCAATCATTTATAGCCACCCAGATTGCTTTAATCTAAATGAAACTATTACTATATCAACCACAGAGATGATCAGAGGACTGGATATTTTTAGGTTTTAATCACCATAATATGTCTCACAAAGTAGAATTGATTAGCTGAGCATATCAGAATTCTCAAATTAGTTTAACTGTTCTTACTTTGAGGATCTACAGAACATTTCACAACTAACCTAGGTACAAATTCTGATCTTTTCCCCATCCTTCACATGACTTCTAATCACCAAAAGGCAATATAAGCTTCAATTAAAAAATGGATGACAATTACCATTTGATCCTACCAAACTGAGACAACTACCTTTAGAAGATCAATGACCAGCTCCATAGGCCCATGAGATTTCCTGTGATTATTCCTAGGATCATAGGCATGTGGGAATCACTCTAATGCTAACTTTCTCTAAACCCTCAATCACATCTTACATTTGAAAAACTTTCGATTTTTCAAGGTGAAGTATATACAAATAGAGGTCATTAAAAACTCTACCTGTAAACATAATGGTTTATGCCAATGATTCTCAAATTATGGTTCCCAGCCTAGAACATCAGCTTCACCTGAGACCATCTAACACATGCAAATTCTTAGGCCCTACCCCAGTCCTACTGAATCAGAAACCTTGAGGTAAAGCCCACCACTCTAGGCATCCTAGCATTTAACTACCCCTCCAAATGATTCTGATGTAGACTATCAAAGAAAACAATCACTTAAACTTACCCTCCTGAGAGAACAGGTAACACCACTCGAACAAATGGAGGATCAAATGGAAAGTTATCCTAAAAAACAAATAAGCAAGTTTAATTTTAAGAATATCCTTAATACTGTATTATTTAGAAGATTTAAAAATACTCTACAGCCCAGTCACTGAGCCGCCACCAAGGACTCAGCAGCCTCCCCCTTGAGCCCCCTCGCTTCCCAACACTCTGTCCCCACAACCCGCCTTCTCCAGCCGCCGCCTTCCACAGGCCGTTTCCACCGAGGAAAAGGGATTGCATCGTATGTCCACTATCCAGAAGCTCCACACTGTCTACCCCTTTGCTGATGCAAGGGTGATGATCTGCTTCCTACTGGCACTGAGGATTATATCCATATAAGAATTCAACAGGAAAACAGCAGGAAGACCCTTACTACTGTCCAAGGGATCACTGACGATTACGATAAAAAGAAACTAGCGAAGGCGTTTAAGAAGAAATTTGCTTGCAATGGTACTGTAATTGAGCATTCAGAATATGGAGAAGCAATTCAGCTACAGGGTGATCAGGGCAAGAACATCAAAAATATATGCCAGTTCCTCGTAGAGACTAGACTGGGTAAGGACGATCAGCTCAAGGTTCATGGGTTTTAAGTGCTTCTGGCTCACTGAAGCTTAAGACAGGATTTCCTTGCAATGAGTAGAATTTTCCTTCTGTCCCCTGTCACAAGTTTAAAAACCTCACAGCTTGTATAATGTAACCATTTGGGGTCTGCTTTTAACTTGGACTAGTAACTCCTTCAGGCAATAAACTAAAAACAGCCAAAAAAAAGACATAAACATTAAAAAGAAAAAAAAAAGTTTATAAAGAATGTATACATCTATTATCTAATGATGAATGAGGGTCATAAACATAAAAATAGTCCTCCAAAATGAAATGAAATGAAAACGAAAGCTAACATAAATGAAGTTAAGATCAGGCCCAACAAAAACAGAAATATAGAAAAAATATGGAACAGGATAGAAAGCAGAGAGATAAACCCACGCACATATGGTCACCTTATCTTTGATAAAGGAGGCAAGATTACACAATGGAGAAAAGACAGCCTCTTCAATAAGTGGTGCTGGGAAAAATGGACAGGTACATGTAAAAGTATGAGATTAGATCACTCTCTAATACCATACACAAAAATAAACTCAAAATGGATTAAAGACCTAAATGTAAGGCCAGACACTATCAGACTCTTAGAGGAAAACATAGGCAGAACACTCTATGATATAAATCACAGCAAGATCCTTTTTGACCCACCTCCTAGAGAAATGGAAATAAAAACAAAAATAAACAAATGGGACCTAATGAAACTTAAAAGCTTTCGCACAGCAAAGGAAACCATAAACAAGACCAAAGGACAACCCTCAGAATGGGAGAAAATATTTGCAAATGAAGCAACTGACAAAGGATTAATCTCCAAAATTTACAAGCAGCTCATGCAGCTCAATAACAAAAAAACGAACAACCCAATCCAAAAATGGGCAGAAGACCTAAACAGACATTTCTCCAAAGAAGATATACAGATTGCCAACAAACACATGAAAGGATGCTCAACATCATTAATCATTAGAGAAATGCAAATCAAAACTACAATGAGATATCATCTCACACCGGTCAGAATGGCCATCATCAAAAAATCTAGAAACAATAAATGCTGGTGAGGGTGTGGAGAAAAGGGAACACTCTTGCACTGTTGGTGGCAATGTAATTTGATACAGCCACTATGGAGAACAGTATGGAGGTTCCTTAAAAAACTGAAAATAGGGCTTCCCTGGTGGCTGACAGTCCGCCTGCTGATGCAGGGGACACGGGTTCGTGCCCCGGTACGGGAGGGTCCCACATGCGGCGGAGCGGCTGGGCCCGTGGGCCATGGCCGCTGGGCCTGCGCGTCCGGAGCCTGTGCTCCGCAACAAGAGAGGCCACAATGGTGAGAGGCCCGTGTAACGCAAAAAAAACCACAAAAACCTAAAAATAGAACTACAATACAACCCAGCAATCCCACTACTGGGCATATACCCTGAGAAAACCATAATTCAACAAGAGTCATGTGCCAAAATGTTCATTGCAGCTCTATTTACAATAGCCAGGACATGGAAGCAACCTAAGCGTCCATCATCAGATGAATGGATAAAGAAGATGTGGCACATATATACAATGGAATATTACTCAGCCATAAAAAGAAATGAAATTGACTTATTTGTAGTGAGGTGGATGGACCTGCAGTCTGTCATACAGAGTGAAATAAGTCAGAAGGAGAAAAACAAATACCGTATGCTAACACATATATATGGAATCTAAGGAAAAAAAATGTAATGAAGAGCCTAGGGGTAGGACGGGAATAAAGACACAGACCTATGACAGCATGGACTTGAGGATATGGAGAGGGGGAAGGGTAAGCTGTGACAAAGTGAGAGAGTGGCATGGACACATACACACTACCAAATGTAGGGTGGAGAGCTAGTGGGAAGCAGCCGCATGGCACAGGTAGATCAGCTAGGTGGTTTGTAACCACCTAGAGGGGTGGGATAGGGAGGGTGGGAGGGAGGGAGATGCAAGAGGGAAGAGATGGGAACATATGTATATGTATAACTGATTCACTTTGTTATAAAGCAGAAACTAACACCTCACAGTATAAAGCAATTATACTCCAATAAAGATGTTAAAAAAATAAAAAGATCAGGCCCAAACAGGACAGTATATTGTAAACTTAAGAAACACACAGAGATAGCCTCACCCACCAGAGGGCAGCCAGCAGAAGCAAGAAGAACTACAATCTTACACCTGTGGAACAAAAAGCACATTCACAGAAAGACAGACAAGATGAAAAGGCACAGGACTATGTACCAGATGAAGGAACACTATAAAAGCCCAGAAAAACAACTAAATGAATTGGAGATAGGCAACCTTCCAGAAAAAGAATTCAGAATAATGACAGTGAAGATGATCCAGGACCTCAGAAAAACAATGGAGGCAAATATCAAGAAGATGCGAGAAATGTTTAACAAACATCTAGAAGAATTAAAGAACAAACAAACACAGATGAACAACACAATAAGTGGAATGAAAAATACACTAGAAGGAATCAATAGCAGAATAACTGAGGCAGAAGAACGGATAAGTGACCTGGAAGACAGAATGGTGGAATTCACTGCTGCACAACAGAATGAAGAAAAAAAAAGGATAAAAAGTAATGAAGACAGGCTAAAAGACCTCTGGGACAACAATAAACGCAACAACATTCGCATTATAGGGGTCCCAGAAGGAGAAGAGAGAGAGAAAGGACCCGAGAAAATATCTGAAGAGATTATAATCAAAAACTTCCCTAACATGGGAAAGGAAATTGCCACCCATGTCCAGGAAGTGCAGAGAGTCCGATATAGGATAAACCCAAGGAAAAACAGGCCGAGACACATAAATAATCAAATTGGCAAAAATTAAACACAAAGAAAAATTATTGAAAGAAGCAAGGGAAAAACAACAAATAACAAACAAGGGAATTCCCATGAGATAAACAGCTGACTTCTCAGCAGAAACTCTACAAGCCAGAAGGGAGTGGCATGATATACTTAAAGTGATAAAAGGGAAGAACCTACAAGCAAGATTACTCTACCTGGCAAGGATCTCATTCAGATTTGATGGAGAAATCAAAACCTTTACAGACAAGAAAAAGCTAAGAGAATTCAGCAGCACCAAACCAGCTCTACAGCAAATGCTAAAGGAACTTCTCTAGACATGAAACACAAGAGAAGAAAAGGACCTACAAAAACAAACCCAAAACAATTAAGAAAATGGTCATAGGAACATACATATCGATAATTTCCTTAAACGTGAATGGATTAAATGCTCCAACCAAAAGACACAGGCTTGCTGAATGGATACAGAAACAAGACCCATATATATGCTGTCTACAAGAGACCCACTTCAGACCTAGGGAAACATTCAGACTGAAACTGAGGGGATGGAAAAAGATATTCCATGCAAATGGAAACCACAAGAAAGCTGGAGTAGCAATACTCATATCAGATAAAATAGGCTTTAAAATAAAGAACGTTACAAGAGACAAGGAAGGACACTACATAATGATCAAGGAATCAATCCAAAAAGATATAACAATTATAAATATATATGCACCCAACACAGGAGCACCTCCAATACATAAGGCAACTGCTAGCAGCTTTAAAAGAGGAAATTGACAGTAATACAATATTAGTGGGGGACTTTAACACCTCACTTACACCGATGGACAGATCATCCAAAATGAAAATAAGAAAGGAAACATGAGCTTTATATGACACAACAGACCAGACAGAACTGATATTTATAGGACATTCCATCCAAAAACAGCAGATTACACTTTCTTCTCAAGGGCGCACGGAACATTCTCCAGGACAGATCACATTTTGGGTCACAAATCAAGCCTCAGTAAATTTAAGAAAACTGAAATCATATCAAGCATCTTTTCTGACCACAATGCTGTGAGATTAGAAATCAATTACAGGGAAAAAAACATAAAAAACACAAACACATAGAGACTACACAATACATTACTAAATAACCAAGAGATCACTGAAGAAATCAAAGACGAAATCAAAAACTACCTAGAGACAAATGACAATGAAAATACAACGATCCAAAACCTATGGGATGCAGCAAAAGCAGTTCTAAGAGCAAAGTTTATAGCTATACCAGCCTACCTCAAGAAACAAGGAAAATGTCAAATAAACAAGCTAACCTTACATCTAAAGGAACTAGAGAAAGAAGAACAAAGTTAGCAGAAGAAATCATAAAAATCAGAGCAGAAATAAATGAAACAGAAACAAAGAAAACAACAGCAAAGATCAATAAAACTAAAAGGTGGTGTTCTGAGAGGATAAACAAAATTAATAAACTTTTAGCCAGACACCTCAAGAAATAGAGGAAGAGGACTCAAATCAATAAACTTAGAAATGAAAAAGGAGAAGTTACAAAAGACATCGCAGAAATACAAAGCATCCTAAGAGACTACTACAAGGAACTCTATGCCAATTAAATGG